TATAATCTGTGCCTCGAGTAAACTGAAAATGAACATCCGAAACGTTTGGTAAGTACACAATTTTCAACCTTCTGCTGAAAACTCTCTTGACTTCCTAACGTAAACTAAGAAAACTTTGCGCACATAGTGCTTTCATTTCGCCGAGAAATTGATCAGAGTATCTCGTTTAAAAAAAAACGAATGGCTTTCTGAAAATGTTTTACCTCCCGAGAAATAGACAGATTATTAATGACGCGAAGAGCGTGGACTTATTGCCCCTTTATACAGCTTTATATTCAGGGGAATGAAAAACGACTGGTTATTACTCCTTGTCGTTTACATTTATTCCTATTAAAAAAAACCTCTCCTATATAAGATACTACGTATACAATAAAATGTGTATGATTGACGGTTCGTTAATTACAAGAATAAATTGCCTGCTCGCGGAGGGAAAACAAGCTTCGGAAATATGCTCGACGGAAACAATGGCGGAGAATGAATCGCAAGCGTCAAAAGATCGTGACAAATTATGCGTAAATAATTGTCGCGACGCGTAACGCTTGTTGCGAAACACGTGGAATAATCAGATTGTCGAATCTCATTTTTGGACCTCGGTAATGTTTCACAGTGTCTCGATTATTATTGATGCAGATAGCAATTTCAGCTGATTTGCTTCGTGAGTTAACGAAGTCCCTAGTGGATACACCTATTACGCTGCTAATTATAATTAAGTTTCTCGTGGCATGAAGAAACTTATAATGGACGCCGTGCGTTAAGATTTCATGGCGTTTCGATTATTTTCGATCCTAATATCAGGCTTACCCGAATTACATGAGTTAATGAAGGAGCAATCAATTTCAATATTTGATAATTATTATCTATAATTCATCGTGCAAGAACGCATTAAAATAACACAAACGTAGCATGAAAATCCTCGTTCAACGAAAAATACGTTTCGCGAAATTCGCAATTTTTTCGGTTCGCATAATCGCCTAAACGAGCAAACAATTCGCAATTTAATGGAGAAATTCGAGAAAAGTGGGTTTGCACAGACCGTGTGCAGAAAATCCCGGAAAATTCAAATATTTTTAACGATTATTATTTAGCCGGAACTTGGCTGAAAATTGTTTATTAATTCCGGACCAGGAGCTACGCAATATTTTGTGACCGGAATTAGTTCATATTGATTCGGAGAATATATGGTTTCTGCAAGACAATGCCACACGCTATATAGCTGTCAAACAATTACTCTATTGCGATCGAAATTCAAAGCTAGAATTATCTCAGGAAACAGCAATATTAATTGGCTGTCAAAATCCAATGATTTGATGTTTGTCGCGAAAGTATTCTATCGATATATTATACGTTATGATTAACAATAGGAACGCAAGAATGGTAGACGATTTTGAATGCGAGCCAATAATGTTCTCTGGTCGATCTCGTTAGAAACTAGTTAGAAACTGCACTCTTTCTCTACGTGTATATTTACAAGTTGCCTAGCAAATTGGAACATGATCTCGTTGGATCAGCTTAAACGCTCCACTTTCTTTCGCTCTGAACTTCACCTTTCTCTTCCTTGCGACCAAGTCGACTTTAACCATAAACTAAATAAGCATTGGTATCTCGCGTTGGCAGTGTCTTACATTTAACAAGGACTATGTTTACCAATACAATCCACCATCGTAAACAAAGTCGTCCTGCAAGTCTTGCGGCAGTCACGTTGGCTGAACGTGGTTTCCAACACAGGATAATTTATTTCAAAATACCTCGATGATCATTTATTTTAAACTTTATTTAATAGAATACTTTTTCGTGTGAAATTTAATTAGAAAAGGAAGGTGAAAGTCTCGTGCATTGGCATGTGAAGCAATCATTAAAATATATGGTGAAGATTCCATTATGGCATCTTATGGAAAAGGTACAATTCATCTTATTAATGGTACTATAAATCAACGTATGTACGAAAACATTCCATAGTGCCATATATAAAAAATTATGGAAAGTATATAATTCTCAGCGAGGCAGAGTCTAATCGTACTGTATAACTGGAGTTTTAAATTAGCCAATGCAAAGCCCCAAATTGAGTTCATTTATGGACTTATTCGAACAAACAAAAAATATTATGCTGTGAATATCACACTCCATCGACATTCATCGCTAATCGTTGGAACAGATATCAGGAAGAATGGGGTAAAAACTGCTCCGACTATCGTGAAAGATTAATAAATGCAGTACTGAAAGCGAAAAGCCTTTGAATAAAATATTGGAGTACGGTGTAAAAGTGAGTACGACTAATCTGTGATGTGGAACAAGATTAAAAGAGTAAACAAATATCGGTGTTAATGGACAGTAGATAAAATTTATATTCGAGTGAAAGAACGATTACAAAAGAGTGCACAAAAAATTAAACGAGCTAAACTAACTCGTGTTAATATACCTAGCCAACATTTGTTGCAATGTATTTTATACGATTTTAAATGTGAGTGACTGCATGCGTGTCTAGCTCTAGAAGGGGCTTCGAGGAACGTTTAGCTCGAAGCCCCATCGATCTAAAATCCGAACCTATTCTCGACGCCATGCTCGCGTCAAAACAAGGAAGCCCAAAATTCTCTAAACTGTATTTTATTACCAAAAGAACGTTCCATAATTCTTGTTAGAAAACCGTGCACTACCTTGTGATAAAAAAATATCCGGAATTTCTCATTTGAGATATTGTAAAAATCATTTTTTTTCTAAGTTGGTACATCTGTCAGTTTACACGTCATTTTTAAGCGCAATTTGTCAGATAGTTTGTGCGTAATAGCCTTGTAAACAAGTCATTGTTTGGTGTACACTGCGAATTTTGTTATTTCGAATTTAGTTGAGCAAAGAGTCTGCCTGAAATTTTGTGTTTCTAACAGGCATTGAAAATGTTAATGATAGCCTACGGAGACTCGACAATGTCGAAAACACAAGCATACGAGTGGTACAAAAAGTTAAAAGAGGGCCGTATTGTGGTTGATGATTTTCCTCGTTCTGGTCGTCCATTTACCTCTTTGATTGACGAAAACATTGAAAAAGTTAAGAAAATTATGCTCAAAAACCGTTGTGTGAGCATCAGGGAGATAGAGGTTGATATTGGTGTCTTGTTCGGATCGATGCAGAGCGTTATACACGATGTTTTGGGCATGAGAATGCTTTGCAGAAAGAGCATAGCATTGCTATTGCTAAAGAAATGTTTTTTTTGGGTCAAAATGGGTCTATCAATATGACATCGAAACGAACCAACAATCATCGGAATGAAAAGCGTTTCCAAAGTTGAATCGTTGAAATATGTGTATTGCTAGCGATGGAGATTACTTTGAAGAGAATAAAATAAATATCAACGAATAATTAAACCGTTTCCGTTTTACTGACAAATTCCGGGTACTTTTTGATCGCAAGGTACAACGCGGCACTTTCTCATAAGCACGCTGCCGCGATTATTATCGAGCATGATAGGTGTTTCGCTCCCAATACCACAAAGTTTAAAGCAGCGTCGGCAGTAAAGAGTTCCCACTGTACATCACGCGTACGCTTCAGTTAAGTCACTCTGCAAAGTTTGCCAAGGAGGGAAACCCAAGACCCGTTAATGCGTCGTAAATCGTTTCTCTCGCTCCGTGCGCGAGTCAACCACGGAGATTACACTCGACCGAGGTAGTCAAAAGTGACTCTCTGTAGCTTAGTCAAGTATCCGGTCTTAACAATGTGCAGCAGCCTCCGCTCGGAATCCCAGGCTTGGAGTATCCGTACCGTGAAAAGCTCGCCAGCTTTCGCTCGTCCGCGCGCTCAACCCGGGACCCTGACAAGAGACACGCGCTGAAAATCGCCCGAAAAAGCAGCCCCGCCGCTGGAATCAAATGAGTTTGCACACGAACGACAACGGAGTTTTGCGAGTGTAATCAAGCCGGGGGGGAGATCGAAGCTTAGGAAGAGAGAATCCGCAACGCGAAGGGACGGTTGCCTCCCAGAGATTTAAATTTCCGCCCAAAGGTAAACGGCTCGAACCCGACAAAGACGAGAGAGGGATCGTCGAACGTCGCGGGGTAAGATCGCCTATGCGCGACGCAATAGCTCCTTAATTACCGAGAAACTCGTTAGAATCTGTCTAGGACGGGATATTTCGCCTCTCTGAAGGAAGACCACCCCGAGATCGAGCCACGACAAAGAGCGCCGTCACGCGCGACCCTTCCGAAGAGAAATTAAATCGATTTGCATTTCCAAAGAATTCTGATTGCACGAGAAACCGTCAAATTTTAAACTGTTGCCTTATCTTGAAGTTACATCGTCGGTGATAGTAATTATAAATTTTTACGTAAATTAATGATTAATTACTATCGTATTTTATGGGAATTAAAGTACACTTTGTACGCTCCAAGATGTCAGAATTTTCTCGATCGAGACCTACTTGTGCGCGTGAAGTCCCCCGACGACGGTTCCCGGTGATTCAATCGCGACAACAAACGTACAAAGCCGCCGCTTTACAACATTGTTCCCACCCCTCCCGTAACTCTTTCGCGCTCACGGGTTTGCGGAGGAGAAGAATATTTCTTTGCTTAGTAGAGCCCCGCGAGCTCGTGCGTTCCTTTGTCTCCGTTTCACGCTTGAGGCGCAACGATGAAAGAAGGATTCGCGCGACAGCGCAAGCAAACACGGCGGGAGCTCGGCAACGGGACACACTTTTCCGCCACTTTATTCCCGTGTTGCTGCTCGCTGCGCGTTTTTTTTTTTCGAGCCAACGGCTGACGGGGTCCGTCGTAAGAAACGGATCGCGATCGCGACTTGTTGGCGAAATGCCGGACAACGCGCTAAAAAAGAACGCGACGACAGCGTGTTCGCGGCGATATTTCATCCGCGACGCGAGAAGGGGGTCCTGTCGTTTTATCGTATTACTTACGATTATATTCGCGTCCCACGCGTCAACGCACACACCCACGCATCCCACTGTCACGAACACGACGCGTTTCACTGTTCTATTCCCGAACGACGTCTCGACAGCTTACCTGACACAGCGAGGAAAGTAAACGCTGCCCTTAGCCACAGGTGGCGAGTCATCTCGAATACGCGGAAACGCTGCTCCGTTGTTGGTCACTGGGTACCCTCGTTCACAAAGTGTCACACCACTCGCGACCGTGTCCCGTGTTAACAACGTACGATTTCTCGATGACACATGGAAGAAACTGTAAAACTGATTTTCATCGATCTGACCGTACGGTCATCGTACACGCGGGCCCCGTTCAACACCAAACCGTCTTTGGAACCGAATGTCACCGTCACACGTCACCGTAAGAAACGTCAAACTAACCCCAAACAGCGCACGGTCCCGACTGATTGCGAGTAGCAGTCCAGGCGCAGACGGTGGCGACAGCGGCGATTCGAATTACCGTGAGCCACGAGACAGGGAGACGTTTAATTTTTCCTTCACGTGGTCGCGACACGCGATTCCCTTTCGAGGGACACGCGTAACACGCGAACGAAGGGACGATCGATGCCCTATCGGTCGGCGAACGTTATCGATCAACGCGCGCGAACCAACGCCACGAGCACCAGAAGAGATTTTAAGCACTGTTGACAGGATAATTGCGCGTATATCTGCACTGGATTGCGACAGACGAGACTGAGCGTCGCCGCGCGAAGCTGTTCCGTCGTGAGCCGCGCGTGCGCAGACCGCCCTTCCATCCCCACCATCGTGAATCGCCCGAACCATCCGAAAGATCGCGCAGCTCTTATCAACCTCGTGGCGTCTCGCTCCCACTCGTACCGCGACCATCGCCACTCGCCCCCCCGCTTCACGAACACGATCAACGGTCCGCGCCGCGATCTTATTCCACACCTCCTTTCGGGGTGAGACGAGGCGCGAGCAAGAGAGAGACAGAGAAACAGAGAGAGAGTCCAAGCCCTCTAGATTCAATTTGCCGACTGAAACTTTTTGTTGAATAAGGTTTGTTACGTATCATCATTCAGTCGCATTAGAGCCATTGTCGGGCCTCGGTCTCTTCCTCCGCCTCGACCTTATATATTTCCAGTGTCTGCACGACCCTGTTGGCCAACCCGTTGAACGCTACACGCGGTACACCGCAAACATACTATGTATGTATGCGCGCAGCGATATCTTCTCGTGCACGGGGCCTCCCCGGCTCATGTTCGACCTGTCCGTAGGCGCCAGGGTGTCGAACCGCGTAACAACATACGCTGGGATTTCTCTCGCTCGAAGACACTCGGACAACGCGGTTCCGTGACGTTGGACATCGCTGGCGACAGTTAGAAAATCTAAGAGACCCCGATGAGTAACGGGTTCGCGGCCCTGTATCTCGTCCGTTCGACGATTACGTTTATGTGCGATTTACGGCCCGTGAAATTTATAGGCGAATAAACTAACCGTGCGCGATATTCGCGGCAGCCGTGCCCGCCACGATCGAAATCCATTGCGTGGAGTTTTTTTTCTCAAAAGGACGATTTAACTTGTCATGCGGGTAATCTTTCGGGAGAGAACGAGCCCTCGTATCGGGCAGCTAATGACCGTGGCGCCTCGACTTGCCCGGGATGTATAACTCGAAATTAATTTCGTTGTAAATAACTGTATTAGCCAGGAGCTTGGGGGGGACGAACGAGGAAATAAATATAGTAATTTCGACGCGATCGTGTTAAGCTTGATCTTCCGGATAATTGCGTTTCACGATACTCTAACACAGTGTTTTCTAAAGTAGAGGGCGCGAACCCTGGAATAGTGGGCGTCTTACGATCTAAAGGGGCGCAAATGATTATTTTTATTTCAGATGCTAGTAATTTCCGCTTTTAAGTAGCGAAACCGAAATCGTACGTCAGCTTAAAAGCGGTGCGGATAGCAATTCTTATCATGAACTGGTGCCAATAGAGATTCCGTTACTCGAATTCGATGCCAAGATTATCACTTGAAAGCATAAAATACTGTACTCCGAATGGTCGTAACTCACGAGCCAATTATTTCGACAAATGTTACCATTTTAGACTACGTTCAAGACAAACGGCTAGAAATTACGCAAAAAGTTCGTTTTTGGAGACTATACAATATGAAAAATTCATTGGACAATGTATCAAAAGGCTTCAAGTTCTGACCGATTAAAGTACACGTTTCATTGATGGGTTTCATCTTTCTATGTTCGATATTTAAAATGAATGCCTTTTGTGTGCAAATGTTCGTAACGAAATAAAATAGATTTAGTTGACTGATATAGGTATCTGTTCCTTGAACTTTCAAGGAACAATTTGCCACAGAAATGCTCACGCATTCATTAGGAATATCGCGAACAGGTCAGCAGGCATTGCCTTTACGAGGACACGTCCGTGATCCCAATTTATCTTTTCCTGGCCCGTTCTTTCCCTCAGCCTTTGTCGCCTTTCTTTATTTCTTTTCCGCCTCTTCCTTTTTCGTGTCTCGTGAATCTTGACCCCGGAAGTGCCGGGAAGAAAAAGGGGGACGAAGAGTGGTGCAAAAGGCAGCGCGAACCCACTGAAATATTACAGAGACATCATTCGTTACCGCTGCGTCGTTTATCCGTATCGTAGTTTTATCTCGAATGTATAAGAATCCCTTCCATCCTCATTTAGGGCTGTTTGCGGAAGAAATCTATCAAGCGTTGCTGGAATTCGCAAAAATTACGCTGCAACTCCTCAATGACGAACGTTGGGTCATTTATAGAAAACAGGGAACCCATTATTTCTGTTTTCCACCCCTTGTTACGAAGACAGTTGGAAATAATATTGTTCTTTGTACTTTGTTCCAGTAGATACGAGTATTCACAGACGTTTGTCGCTGGTTTGGGAGATCGAAGAGAAACGTGTGCGTCACCTACCCTACGTACGCGTTCTAAAATGTAACTTATGTGCCCGCCCACGACCTGGCGACCAATCGAGGGATATCAAGAGTCAGGGATGGACTCGAGCAAAAAGAGGGAGATACGTAAAAAGCAGTGGAAGATCGTCTCGCCAGAAATATTGAACGACGCACCGTTACGCACTTCAGCAGCTGTCCAATTTCTCTCTTTTCATCGTTTCTCCTTTTCTTTGAATTTTTTATTTTACTTTTTGGTCCGTGGCAACGACACTGAACCCGCTGTACAGGGTGCTCGGCGAGGAATGGCATAAAAATAAAAACTAATAACGATAAGTTTCTTCCCTTGAATAATTTTTGCTCGATCGTAGATCGTTCCACCCACGATTCCTACCAGAACTGATGTTCCTTTCATCCTGTAATACGTCTGATACGCAATCCTAGTTATAAAAAATTAATCAACGTGAAACTTAGAAAATGAAATGTTATGTAATACGCGAATACATGCACACAAAGTATAAACAAGAACATAGAGATACACAATCTAGATTCTACGACAGTATTCCCATACCGCGCCCCGCTTTTAATTAATTTCATTTACATTAAATTATGGTTTCTTCCGTAAATAACTGCAGTTGTTTGGTGGGCAAATATTTCATCTGCATACACGAATAAATATCGTCGAATATGCAAATAATTCGAACGTATCTATGATCCGTAGTATTATTGTTTATCAGAGACGATTTAAAAGCAACTCTTCCCGGCCACGCTGCAGTTCAATTACGTTTCTAACTGCGTGTCTCTAGTAGTAGTTTCCAACGATCTTTTTGTTTATATGAGTACGCTTATTATGAGAGGACAATGGTGTACAATGTCTGGCTGCTGGATATTATCGAGAATATAATTACGCGAATGTTCATCCGTTGTTTTGCACACTTTTTCGCTATAGAATTCCTTCAGCAGCGAGGATTGGGTCGTTAAAATGTATCTCGATGTTAACTCCGAATTCTAACTACCCGGTACACTGCGAGCTCTTTTTCTTTTATCCGCAAGCTTCAAGCGAGAGTTACAATAACAGGGTAGTTAATATTTTCGTATGTTTATTACGAAAGAATTTTACCATAATTTGTATGTTTCAACTGACTGGGGGCTGTCTACGCCAGTGAAAATATTTTTCCAGAAATCTTGCCCACGCGTTCCTCGTAATGTTTTGCTATCAGTACAACAGCCACTCATGCCCGTTAAGTTATATCAATGAAAATGGCGCATCAAAATAAAAAATTGTAATAAATTTATTTCTCGAAACGTCCGTGAAACAGTAATTTTATGGTACGAAGAGAGATACACACGAACGTGCGAATTATAAGAAAGGGAAAAATAAATTTAATTTTGTGTGTACCGAAAAGAAAAGAAAAATAAATTTAATCTTGTTTAATACACTTTGGGGAGGAGAATAATAAATGTAACGGTACGTGGACTGTAAGTACGAGGAAAAGTGAATTTAATCCGGCGTGTTATGTAAATACATACCAGAAATATTCGTATAAATTATGTAAATACGAGAGACGGATAGGTTTAGGGGCGCGTGTCACGACACGCGGATCTTTTCGTCGGTGTTGTTCCGTCATTGTCACGTGCAAAATGGAAAAATGAAAATTTCTCCCGCCCGCTCGAAAACGCGACGGCAGTATCGAACGTGCGTTCAACAGACGCGAATTACTTTCTAACATCGGGAGCCATGGAAAACGCGACAACAGTTTTGAAAGTGGCATTCTCCCTCAATGTACGCAGTTTTATAGATATACCGCGCGCACGATACCGGAATAACAAATGCTCGGGAGACTGTTTTCTTTCTACGGTGTTCCTCCGTACCGCGTTTACGATTTATCGTCGTCCGCCTCATCCCGAAAATTGTTTCGGCAAGCTTTTAAAGCCTGTCTTGTTTCTCATCGTTACGCTACGTCAAAGAGGTGACTTCATTTCCTTCCCTTAACGGCAAGAATTTCGCGTGGCGTACTGTCGCGACATTTTTCCAGCGAGCAGCAACGACGAAGGAATGAAAGAAAATTTGTAAGCACTGCAGAATCCTGATTGTCGGGACCATCGGAACAGTCAGCCAGGGAAGAGACCCTGCGCTGCTTAAGATACGGAAAAGACGCGAGTCGGAATGACAATCACGAACATGGAATTTAATATTACAGCAAACGTTAATCTTTCAAAGGCTCTATGTATTCATTTTTCGAATCGGAGTAGTTTAACTTTTCGTCAATAATATTGTTACGCGTTCCCGAGTGGATTTAACGAGCTGCACAACATTCCTTTTGATCGAGCCTTGAATCTTTCTTGCTAGAGAAAGAATAGCTTTTCTTTCCTCGAAATTATTGATACCCTCTGTTCTAATAACAAGTAATGGTAATTCCTAAATGACTGGTATTTAAATACAGGGAATTATAATTGGAGA